TCACTTAGACGTGAAGCTTCCTGGCATGGGTTGCTTCTGGGGAACATGACCTAAGACAGCCCCCGCCCAAATGTTCCTAGAGCTCCTTGACGTTTTCTCTGCCACGTGGCTCAGCTGTGGCTCACTTCCCCAAACCCCCTGCTAGGCCAGTGTTCCGGAGGGCAGGGTCTCCCCCAACTTGCCTGTCAGTCCGCATAAGCAGATCCACCTGTGCTGACTGTCGAAGCAGGCCAACGCACAGGAAAGTCCTCTGTAATGGCAGGGAGCCCTGTTCATTACCATCGCTCAGAGGGGAGCTCAGAGGGACATTCTTGATGTGAGGGAAGGTGATGTGTGATGGACTGGACTCTGATTTCTAAAGATTTCTACCTGGAAGGGATACGTCTCACCTCTGCTCACCTTCCATTGGCCAAAGTCGATCTCATGGTCTTGGCAAATCTGGGGAGGGGGCCTCCAGGGCAGAAGGAAGTGTGATCCTGCTGTAGTTATGACCCCCCTTCCGAAATATGCTTTACTCTTCTTAAGTTTCTTCCCACCCTCTTTCGGCCCGCAGATGCAGTCAGATGAGATTATATGAGAGGACATCCACTGGCCTGTTACTAAGTAGGGAAACCACACCAAAAAACTATCTCCAAACTACACTTTCCAAAAGCATGTTGATCATCACAATTCTGCATTTATACCAAGAGCAGGTACATGTGGGGCTTATGCATAAATTTAACAAAATAAAGAAAAGTAATTTGGAAAACACAGACAGATCTCAAATGAGACAAATTTGTACCTAACAAAGTTATACATATTAACCACAGAGTAGTATCAGATTTAAATCTGATACACATTACAAAAATCCTAAAATAACCATAACTGAAGCAAGATAAAACTCTGTTCCTCCCATTTAAAATAATTTGGAGGTAGGCCTTCCAGAGCCAGCATGGTTTCTGTGTTTAAGATTACCTCATGGGCCAGTATGACCGCAGGAGTTCCAGCCCTCACATCTGAAATCCAATAGCTCACAAATAGGTGGGGAAGGCAAAAAAAACAAAACAAAACAAACAAAAAAAAACCCAAAAAAACCCCACCTCACCTCCTTGATGTGTCAACTTCTTTAAAGCAGCCTTCCAAGAAATCCCTCTCAATATCACAAGTGCCTCCCCCCAGCCCTGTCATAACTAAACAGTGGAGGTTGGGAAATGCAGTGTTTTAGCTACTGGGCACATTGCTGTATAACAAAATAGGCCCTACTTTTAAGAATAATTCTGTAGGCAGCCACCAGTCTCTGACCCAGAGGCAGGACACCTTTTTGGAGGGTGCCATCTGTGCCACCACACTGGGTGGGAACCAGGAGGGAGAAGCTGGAGTGAGAGAACAGCCAGACAGATCTGACTTGCAGCTCTAGACGCTTTCATGAAGTGAATTCAGGAATGAAGACTGAGTGAATAGAGAGTGATATGTATCATGTAGACGACTTCCTTCAAAAACTGCTTTTCTAGCCTGGTCCCCAAGTCTTTCTCAATACCGCAGCTTCTCAAATTTCTTATCTTTGTGACCACCAAACTCTGACCTACCTGCTGTCTAGCCATCCTTACATCTGTTTACATCACTTCTGCGTCCAGTCAACCGGCACAACAGGGCTGAGGGGCAGCACAGACACTTTGCAGAAGGGTGTAGAGGAAACACCACGAGTAATTCTACTTTGATATTTTCTGTTCCTGATCAAGATCATCGGAAGGACTGAGATCTCCTGGGATAGCCCAACTGAGAAAGTGACTCCCCTGAGGCTGGAGACTGCGTCTGTTCATCTGTGTTCCCAGGTCTCCGGGCAGGTATTCAGTGAACACGTGAGGAATGAATGAAAGAGAGAAGAGAATCAGCGCCCCTCGCTCTCGTCAGTGCCATTCTGAATGCGCATGGAGGCGTGGTATTTGGAGACAGAGGTGCAAAAGGTAGAACACGGGGCCATAGGGGTGCGGCAGGTGCCAGGAAAGTGGAAAAGAACCAGGAGGGGAAAATGGGAGACAAGGTAGAAAGAGCACCCTTCCCAAAATGCCACCTGCCTCAGATGGCTTGAAATTTCCGTCACTTTCTCTTCCTCCCTCCGTTGTCCTAATTCTCTATCTTTGGCTCCTTAGAAGGGCCCGCTTCCCCTCCCACCCCGCAAGATGACTTGGCAGTGACCCAGTTGATGAAGACTACACAGCTGTTTGTCATTTCCTCCCTCAACACCCTAGTGGAACAATGGTGTCTGTCACACCCACAAGTTATTGTTGGCATGGTTTTAGGAGTTTCTAGTCTCTCTGTGAAATGATGTATCCTTAGAGAAGTTTCTATCCTAGGGGAGTGAATGGTCAGTTACAGAAAGATGTGGTAAATGATGAGAAAGGAAAAAGTGTGGTTAAAGACATTATAAAGGGGCCACTTAACTTGTCTTGGGGGTTACAGAGGCACTTTCCAGAATGGAAAGACCTAAGACCTAAAAGGTATGAGTGACAGAAAACCCAAAACAATGGAAGCTTCCACAAGGTGGTTTATTTCCCTCTGTGGTAAAAGTCCAGAGGGGGGCATCCAGAGGGAGGTGCCCAGAGGGGGGTGTCCAGAGGGGGGCATCCAGAGTGGGGCATCCAGTGGTGTCACGAGCCCCATGGTGTCAGGGGTCAGGTTCCCTCTGTTTCGTTGTGTCATGAGGTGTGGCCTCCATTCCCATGGTGACCTTGTATGTCCAGAGGGCTGCACCAGCTCCAGCCATCACACCCACATTCCACCTCCCAACACCAACAAGAGGATTGCTTATTATAAACTGGAGTCAAAATTATATAGGACAAAAGGAGGCATGATTGTGGGAGCTTGTCTTATTGTGAGCCTCAACTATTCCATGTCTTTGCCTTGATTATTCTTTGCTTTGACTGTTCTGTGCGTCTCAATGTGCAGAAACAGGGAGTCTGAGATAGGGAATATCTCAGGGCAAAAGTCCTGGTGTGAGGATCTCTACATGCTGAAAACAGCACGTGCAGAAACAGCAATAGGTGTTATGGCTAGAGCAGCATAAACACTGAGACTTTCCTTGACTTTCTCCTTATTTCTCAACCTTGGCTGGGGCAAGGTGGTACCCATCCCCCAAACACTTGTGCATTCCCCACTTGCCTGCTTGCTTCTTTGATCTTTTTATTTTCTGTCTGATTCTAAATAAAAACAAGACTGCCCTTGGAGCTGGGCTGCACTTTCGTGGTGGAGTCCCTCTAAGCTTCTCATTGTTCTGGACACGGACTCTGAGTAATCCATTTTCTTTTTTCTAAAGATTTATTTATTTATTTATGCATACAAGAGCTGGGGGACAGACCAGAGATGCAGGGGGTGAGAGGATCCACCAGAGACAGAGTGGGGAACAGAACAGGCCGACTGACCGAAATACACTGCTGAGGGGAGCAGCGGGTGAGACAGGAGAGGTCTGCCCTGCCGTGTGGGTTTCTCCCTGGCTGGCCCAGGGATTGAACTCTTGCTGCAGAGGCTGTGAATTGCTTCATAGTGCGGTGTTTAACCTCTTGTGCCACCAGGGAGGCCCTGAGTAATCCATTTTCATCTTGCCGCCACATGACCTAACAAGACAGATGACAATGTTAGGTCACTGCCTTGGCCCTCCCTGGCCCTCAGAAAGTTTCAACCCTCCCTTCTGGAAGCGCTCCTTAATGCAAGTCCAAGTGAAATATTTGCAGACCCATCAGGACAACCCTCAAAGGAGCCACTGGGTCTCGGAAGGGTCAGCAGCTGAGACTGCCTTCCTCACGGACTGCTTGGGCACTCTAAGGGATGACTGCTGATTGGAGAAGGGGGATTTACCCAAGGGTCCTTCATCCACAGCTACCTGGCAGCCTGCGAGGTGGTGAGAGAGAACGTTCTGCAGCGTAGGAGCAATGGAGACTGTCTTAGTCAACCAGATCTGTTCTCTCTAGACTGTGAAATTAGACTTACGAGATTCGGCTGGGGAAAAAAGGATGCTAACAAAAAACAAAGCAGAGTCACACTGAAGGACGAGGTTTGGAGCACCGTTCTTCCTGGGGTCACCACCATGGGGCCTGGGAATTCACGGTCGCGTGCCCTCGCGAGCGCCTTTTGCAGCCAAAGGCGCCGCTGGCTGCGGGCCGGTTTCCCCCTGGACTGAGAGGCGCAGTGGTTCAACGTAGCTGCTGCTGTGGCTCTGAATGTTGGGGGACACGCGCTTCCTTGGTCTAAGAAGCGCTCCTTTTTGGGCTTCATTTTTACAAAAACCAGAATTATGGACGCTGCCGAGGGGCAGAACAGGGAGTGGGGTTCACCGGCAGCCCCGGCTGCTCAGGACACGCTGCCCAGGGGAGGGGGCGCAGTCCTGGCACTCGGACTCGGGGCCAGCGCCCAGGCCTGCGGAAGGCGGCTCTGCGATGCACGGAGCACCGCCCAGGCGGGGCGGCCCAGGCGGGCCCCAGGGCCCCGGGAACCAGGCCAGGCCGGGGAAGCGCTCAGGCTGCTCCGAGGCGCCCGCCGTCCAGCCGGGGACGCTCGGGTCGGGGCCACTCCAGCCGCGGGGCCCACGCGGAGTCACGCAAGTGGGCGTCCGGTCGGCCTTGGGGCCGCAGCCCGAGCTCGGGGCATCGAGGGCGTCCCGTGGGCGCCGGGCCCCTCTTCTGGGGGGGCGAGCGCGGCCCCCCCACGCCAGGCCGCGGAGCCCTGGGGTCGCGCGTCACGGCCGAGGCGCCGGGACGGCCGCGCACGCGCACGCGCCCCGGGGGCCTGAACTCCGCCCCGTGGGCGGGGCCTCCCCTGGGCGGAGCCGAGCCCTCGGGGGCGGGGCCGGGGGGTCGCCGGCGCCGGTGGGGTCTCGTGGGTTCGCCCGGGGGTGCGGCCCCGGGGGGCCGCGTGGGCGCGCTCCGGGGGGCCGGCGTGTCGGCGACTCAGGGCCGCCCGGCGACGGCGCGGTAGGGGCCCGGCGCGCGCCCGGCTCCGGCGCCCGGACGTTGGCGGCGTCACTTCCGGCGGGCGGGCTGCGCACCCGGAAGTGCGGCGCCGGCTGTGGTTTAACCCGCGGCGGCGGCGGCCCCGGCAGGTGAGCGGGGCCCGGGGGGCGAGGACGGGGTGGGGTGGCGCCCCGTGCCTGCCGGCGCGCCCCCGCCTGCCTGCCCCCCCCGGCGGAGGCCGGTGATTGGGCGCGAGGGGCGCGTGACTCGCGCGGACGCCGGCGCCCCTGCCCCGCGCGCCGGAGGGAGGGGATGGAGGGGGCGCGGCCGGGCCTGCCGGGGAGGGCGCTCCGGCCCCGCGCCCCCTCACCTCCACCCCGCACCCCAAGTGCGAGCGTCTCGCTGGGCACGTCTCGTGACCCTGGAGCCAGTTTGCCCGCTGTCCGGACGGGGAAACAAGGCTGCGGTGGGGTCCGACCCGCCGGGGGGCACAGCAGGGCCGCGGGGACTCTGGCCTTGGATTCCCGCGGTGTCCTGTCCAGGGGCGCGGGGAGGACGGGGCTTTTAGCTGTGTCTGTTCTTATCCTTTAACCTGGAGTCGGCCTCGAGCCGTCCAGCATCACTAACCAATCTTTACCCCTGGCCCCGCCGGGTTCAGAGGGCGGTGGTGTGTGTGAGCGTGTCTGCAGCTTGGACTGGTTCCTCCTGGGCGCAGAGGACACCGGAGCATCTCTGGGTGTCCGTGTCTCTGTTGGATACATGTCTCTGCTGTGTGCCTGGCTCCTCTTTACCTCCCATCAGTGGGTGCTTATTTTCCTATTTTATGACCAGGGAAGCGGTAGCCCGGGGCTATGTGGTGACTTACTGGCAGGTAATGACCATACTTCAGGTTTCCGCACCAGTCTTTTGTCAGCTACACGGCGTCCTGGTCCACTCACCCTAGAATGTCCACCTGGAGCTCTGGACACTTCCCAGGCTCACTGTCCTTCCCTCCGCAGTCTCTCAGTGATCCGCTGGCTGACCCAGGCCTCCTTCGCTGGCTGCCATCCTCTTTTCCAGGACTCTCATTTCCTACTGGGGAACCCAAGATGCTGCCACTCTCAGTTGTGTGACTTTGCCCTCGGCTGGAGATGGTGGTGACAGAAGGATCTGGGAAGGAAGGGCTTTCTCTGGTTGTTGTCCAGAGCTGTCGCCCTGCACAGCCTGGGCTCTGTGGTTCTGGACCGGAGTGAGGACTTGGGGTGATAACTGGATGGCGAAGTCTTTGTTGTGAGAGTCTTTATTCTTGGCCACCAGTGCCCAGAAAAGCTTTTTTCCTAGATTATCTTGGAAGTCTGGCTCGGTGCCTGTGTGGTTTCCATTTAGTAGACACTTGTCATCTTGACAGCTTCAGTAGCTGTTTTTGTTAGGTAGCAATTTGTTCTGATTTCTCGCTTGGCTGCCATGTGCTGCAGGCACTGTTCTAGGGGCTTTGTGAACACACTGACCTCTGGGAAACATTGCAAGGTGGGTGGCAATCCTGTTTTACATGATGATGTAACAGAGAAGTTAAGTAAATTGACCAGGGTCACAGCCAATAGGTGGCCAAGTTGGGATTTGTAACCATCAGTCTCATTTGAAAGCTAATGGACTTGCCTGATCTGTGATACTTGGTAAAAATACAGACACCCCCCCACACACACCCCAGTTCCTGGAGAAGATTCTCACTTAGATCTGGTTGGTGGGGTCCCAGGAATCAGTATTTTTAGAAGGTGTACTGGGTGATTCTTACTGCAAGACCAGTTTGGGAAGCACTGCCTTAAGGAGTTTGTAGATTTGCTGATCTTGGAAGTGAGATTATGTCTAAGGAATCTTGTTTCTTTTTGCTTACTACTGCGCAATTTGCTAATCTGCCCACAGTCTGTCATTAAAAGGGCACCGGGGGTAAGTGGCCATATGAATCATCTCCGGACATTGTTGGCCTATAGTTCAGGGGTTTTCCAGACTAACATAATCAGGTCATTTGAAGACCATCTTTTAGTCCGATTGGAGCTCTCTTGGAAATTCTGTTTATTTCTGCTCCTCCTAGGGCTGGAGTTTCCAGAAAGTTCTGGTCTGCTACTCCATGGTGGAGACACCTTTGTAGTGGCAACGTTGAGGCTTTTCCAAGGCATGTTGACTTAGCGTGGGCTCCCCGCATTGCACGTCTCTCCTCTTTATCTGTCTCCTTGGTTTATGAGAAAGCCTTGAGCATATGCAAACAGGTTTGTCGTGATTTAGCTGGGGCTTGACAGTGGGGGCCCCTGGGGCTTGGGATGGGTCAGGGAGGAGAGGAAAGACTCCACCAAGAACTTCAAACAGATCCCCCAGGTACATGTGAGTACTTGCAGTTCCCCTGCTGATCTTGTGCCTCTTCCTCTGCAAGCTGAGGGGTCTCACAGAGGCAAAACAGCTGGATACTATTACTTCATTTCCTCCTGTCCAGTAAACATTGAATTCTAACTTAATTTCTTTGTAAATAGAGGATGTGCTTTGTGGAATTTGAATGGTTTCAGTTTACTATTTGGTGGCCCAGGCCCCGGCCTACCTTGGTGTTCTGTGAGCACTGAGAGGAAGGGCCTTCCTACCTGTGTGGAGTGGCGTGTCTATAGGTGTCAGCAAAGGCCAGCCGTGCTGTTCAAGACTTTCCTGCTTCTCTCTCTACTTGTCCTGTCAATTATGGAAAAGGGCGCGTTGGAACCTCTGGCTGTCTTTGTGGAATTTGTTCCTTCTTGTAGTTTTATCGGTTTATTTCATGTGGTTCACAGTGCTGTGAATAAGTACACAAACATTTTGGAGTGTGATATTCCTTTGATGAATTGACCTCTTTTATCATGAAGTGATCCTTTTAGACCCTGGGAGTATTCATTGCTCTGAAGTCTATTTTATTATCACCAGTTCAGCTCTTAAAACTAGCATTTTGTGGATTGATAGCCAGACTGTATAAACAATTTCTACAACTCAGTGATAAGCAAGCAAACAATCTGATTAAAACAGGCAAAGGCCTTGAATGGACATTTCCCTGAAGAAGACATACAAATGGCCGGTGAGCACAGGGCGTTACTCAGCATCACTCAGCATCAAGGAAAGGAGGATCAAGGGCAACGAGAGACCTTTTCACACCCATGAGGGTGGCTGTTATCAGCAAAACCAGCAGGGTGACAAGGATGTGGAGAAATCAGAGCCCATATTTATTGCCCATAGGAATGTAAAATGTGCAGCTGCTGTGGAAAATAATGTGGTAGTCCCTCCAGGAAAATTACACATAAAGTTACCATATGATCCAACAATTCCCACTATGGGTATTTGCCCTAAAGAAGTTATAAACAGAGACTCAAACAAATGTACACCCTTGTTCATAGCAGCGCTATTCGTAATAGCCAACAGGTGGAAGCAAATCAGATGTCCACTGGCAGATGAATGGGCAAACAAAACATGGTAGCTACATAAAATGGAATAGTATTCAGCCTTCAAAAAGGATATTTTGACGCATGCAACAACATGGGTGAAACTTGAAGAAAGGTTGCTGAGCAAAAACAAGCCAGTCACAAAAGGACAAACATTGCATAATTTCTCTTACATACGCTTCTTAGAGTAGTTAAATTCATAGAGACAGACAGTGGGGTGGGGGCAGGGGGAGTGCTTCTTTTCCCGCCAGAGTCACAGGCTAGAGAAAGAAGAGGCTTTGCCAAGGAACTGGCTTGTGCTTCTCTGTCAGCAAGTTTCAAGAATGGGCCACTTATTAAATAACCTGTTTCTTGGCCGTCATATTGATTGAAGCTGAAGGCTATCGATCCGAGTTCTGTTCAGCCGTGGAGCTGTGTTGCTGGGTTGGCTGGCGCTGTCTCTGGAGGAGCCTTACGCCCTCTCCTCCATGCCCACATGGGAAGCGCTTGGGTGGCAGGTGGGAATGGATGAGTGTGGGCTCAGCCACGGCAGTGAAAGTCAGGGTTGTTGATTGAGGCCAGCCTGAGAGCTGCATATAGGGCTGTGGGGGTGTCCACTCCTTGTGTCCTTAGAAAAGCTGTACAGAAGAAACCGAGGCATGAAAGGATTAAGTAACCTGCCCGAACTCCCAGCCAGAGAGTGACCGAGAGCTAGGGCGTCCTGCTGTCTAGACCTGAGCCTTGAATCCTCGGGCTTCCCCCTCAGGGCTGAGGTCAGAAGGAGGTGCTGCTCCAGGTGCTTTGGCGTGCGTGTGGGGTGAGCGCCAGGGCTCGCACCCCAGCTCAGGAGAGTCAGTGTCACTCGTGTTTGTTGAGGGCAGCGGTTTGCCAGCTCCTGAACATCAACAGGTTCTGTTCTTTAGAAGTCTGGCCGAAAGCTGGCAGTAATGGCGGCATTACCAGGTTTCTACCAGGACTGGCCTGTGTTTCACGGACTTGGACTTGACTGCGAGGCTGTTGGGCGTCGGGGGAGAACGTGCCCTGAAGCTGACAGCCTCAGTTACAGTTCCCGTCCTGCCTCGTCATCTGCTTGTTGTGAGACCCCAGTGGGCACAGGCTCTTCCGCTCGGTGTCCCGGGCCGTACTCCGTGGCCGCGTGGGCTTGTGGGTTGCAGTGGGGCGCACCTAGGACACGCCTGTCGCAGGAGGCCATGCACGTTAGCTGGGGACAGTTGTCGGGACACTGAGGCTTGGAGAGGACCTGAGGGCTCGGCGGTCACGCCTGCCCCCACCCCTGCCCTCACGCAGCGCCTGGCTCTACTGCCGCCGGCTCCTGCCAGTCCCTCAGCCTGGAATCCGCTCTCCTCCTCCTCCTCCAGCTGCCCAGTGCCCGCCCCGCCTTCCTGCAGATGTCAGCGGCTCTCCTGATGCAGGGTACCAGGCGGCATTCATCACTCAGCTCCCCACCACCCCCTGCCGAGGCTGCACAGCCCAGAGGGGATGCAGGAGGGTCTGGGCAGGGGCCTGGTGAGCTCAGCAGAGGTGAGAAGCTAGGGCAGTGGTTTTCAAACTGCTGTCTGGGAAGGTGCCTCAGGGACCCCTTGAGATTTAGGGGCAACTGAGCCAGTGCCTGTCCTCTGTGACCTGTTCTGTGCATGGGGAGAGTTTAGGAGAATGTTTTGCTTGGGGGGAAAACCCCAAAACAAAGATGTTCTTTAAAAAAAGTTGAAAAAGTTAAGAATAAC